GCTTTTCCTGATTTTGTAAGTAATATAGATTCGTTTCCTTACAAAACGTATCAAAGAATCTGTCTCCAAGAAAGAGTCCTGTTATTTGTAATACTTTTGTCGGGTCAGAGGGAATTTGTTTCACCCCTGGGTTTCCGGTAAATAGCCCTAAATTTGTTGTTTTATCTGTTTTCACCCATGTGGAAACAGCTGAATCTAGTATGTTATTGTCACTTGCGTTTGCACTTTGTTCACTGTCACTGTAACTTGGTAAAGGATGCACAATTTTGTTTTGCCTGTTTCCAATAATAGAAGAGCCACTATCATTTTCACTGTCACTATCAGCATTGTCAGAAACATCAGATAATGTGTTCACCAACAATTCCGCTGAAATTTCGTCTTTGTAAGATATTTTTTCCCGTGAGAATTACATCTTTCCGTCATGGGTGTCAAGTGATTGAAACCTGAATGCTGACTAAATACAGAGCAGAGCAACAGAGGGAAATGCAGAGCTGTTTGTTCCCTACATTTATCACAGATCATTAACTCCTCAGAGTGAGGTTACGTTTCTATAAACATTTGTCAGCAGGACCACTCGGAGAAAGGCTCCATGTATTGCACAGTTAAGTGTATAGTGCGTGAAAACCAAGCGTGTGTTAAAAACGCAGATTTGCGTCATCCGTCTTGCACAGCTGTAATGTACAGATGCAAATCTGCGGCACTGGTCCACAATGTGTTAATTTCTTACAGTGTAATCAGCTCCTCAATACTTTTATGGAAAAAAAATTTTTTTTTTTTTAATTTTTTTACCCTGCCTTTTGACTTGTTTCATTGGGAGGAAGATCCAAAATAACATCGACTGCTATTATTGAAGCAGGAAGTCTGGATTTTTTGCCGTTTGTCAGCAGATTCAGTTGAGGGCTTTGTGAAGATGGAACTGCTGGTTAAAATGGAATTTGGACGCTATTGTAGATGTTACTTAGCAGTGCTCTGTGCTAAGGATAATGGACCTCTAGCTGTGTAAACTTTAGGAAAAAATGACCAGAGGTCTTTTTTGTTTTTGTTTTTTATTGGTTTTTTGGTAACAGCTTTATTGAGCTATAATTCACATCACATACTAGGCAATTTAGGTTTTTTGGGGGTTTTTTGGGGGTTTTTTAAAGATTTTTTGGGGGGATTGGGGAGGGAACAGCATTGGGGAATCGAGGAAGGAGAACAGACAAGTTGCTGTCCTTTTGTTCTTCAGTCTAGTTGTGAAGGATGTCACTTCACTGGCCCATGTTGGTATTGTGATCATTGCACTCTTCCCAGCTGAGGCATATTGGTCGCCGGCCATTGGACGGCGGCTCACAGCAGCTCACACTGGCTGCCGGCCGCTCACGGTAGCTTACGGCAGCCCAATCTAGCCCCACTGCAGCCTACACTGTCGCCAGCGACTCGGCAGCCCAGCTCCAGGTTGAGCTGTTGTTCACCATCTTAGCTGTAGAGGGCGCAGCATCACTGGCCCCTGTGGGATCTGAACCGGCTGCCCTGCTGCTCAGAGCTGGCGTCCCAAGCCAACTTTTAACCAACAAGCCACTCGGCCAGCCCTAGGATGATTCTTAACTCACCTATAAATGAGATTGACTTTCACAAAACCTGTGACTGCATACCTCAGATATCTGATTATGAATACTGCTGTTTATAATTTACCACGTAAAATGTATCTGTCCTATGACTCAAAAACAAAGTGGAGTTTGGGGTTCTAGTGCTGGTAATGGGGTTTGTGTGCTCAGAGCTTGTACAGGTCAAGGCCCTTTTGGGAAGCAGATGAGTATTTTAAAATGCAAGTGCTAAGTCCCTGACATTTATTTTCCAACAAAACTATCCCTACTTAAATTACGTTTGATTTTTTTCGGTAGGAAGCAAGGAAAATACAAAAACAAAAAGAATATCGTGAAAAACAAAAGGAGAAGAAAAGAAATGAAAGTCTTGTAAAACAGGCTACATCGGCTGTGACCTCAGAGGC